TGGTTGACCGCCCATAACCGCGGGCACGGCTATTCGAATAGTTTTACTCTGATCAGAGGTGTACAACTGTACCCACAAGACACAGCCCCACGACACGTTTCCGTGCGCCGACATGTCACCACGACATACCGGAAAGAGGCCGTGACAGGACCATTCGCATAACCCCCTCTAACCAAGCACACCACACCTCAGGTTTCACCCCCACTCCTCGCAAGGCAGCGGGCAGTCCCCTCTCGTGCCTAGGTGAATCCGGAAGCCGCATAGGCCGTCGCAGGGCCCATCCAAACTCCATCACGCCCACCCTTGCCTGGATGCGTCGGCTAGAGGAAAGCTACACTACAAGCCCAGCCGTTGCCCACGCTGGCTTGTGGTAAGTACGATAAGTTCTTCCAGGGCATCCCGCGAACCGGTCCTTAACTGCCATGGGTGCGACCAGCAAAACCATGCACCCACAGCCCACCATGTGATTCATTTTAATTAACCAACACCAGAGCGGTGGTACTAATCCGACATTATCATTAGAACCAACAGTCTAAACATTAATATGATTTTCCCCATTGTGAACTAGTTGAACTAAGCATGGCTAAGCAATTCCTAGTCCAAACTCTAATCATGTTATAACCCCAAGCTAACAAAGGAGCATGATATCCAAAAACATGGCTGTAACAATAGGTAACCATCCCATAGTAATGTTATAAAACAATGCAATATTTGAAAGAAAACAATAGAGCATTTGCACTATAGGATCAACATGTTCGAGTGACAAGCATGACTTGCCTTGCTCTGCTGCTGGAGGAACCTCGGCGACTATCTCGAAGTACACCGGAGCGTCGGAGGAATCGGAATCTAGCGACACACAAAGCAAACATTGCAAACAGGCTATAAGACTACTGAAACAGGGAACAAAACCATTTTTAATGTATTCTACACATTTTTCTTGATTTACTGAGACTTGAATGGGCTTAAACAGAGCTCGGATGAATTAGTTATGAATTTTAGAAGATTCACTGTGTTTATTACTATAAAAGAAAAACCTTAAATCATTTATTGCGCAATATATTCCAGGGCTGACGTCAGCACGGGGGGGGGGGGGTGCGGCGCTGACAAGCGGGGCCCGCATGTCAGCGGCGCACGGGTGGCCGGTCTACCGTGGACCGGGACCACGCGGGTGATCCACCGCCGGTCCACGGGATCGACGGCCCGGATCGGCCCGGGGCCGATCGGATGGTGCGGCGGCGGCCAGGCTAGGCTCGGCTCGGCACAAAGCCGGCCGACCGGTCACGGCGACGGCGCGCGCACGCGCACGCGCGTTGCCGACGACGGCAACCGCCGGCGGAGACGGCGGCGCAAGGCGCCGAAGGGCGGTGATGCTAAAGCGACGACTAACGGGCGGCGGCGCTAAAGCGGCGGCTAGGAGGGAGAGGGAGGGGAAAAAAAAAGGAAGGGGTGCCTCACCGAGGGTGGCCGGCGCGGAGGAAGACGATGGCGAACGGCGACGGCAAGCCACGGGAGGACGACGTCGGCGGGCGGACGAGCTTCGGGGTGCCCTAAGGAAGGAGAAGAGAGGGATTAGAGAGAGGGAGATGGACCACGGCGACCGGAAACCATGGCCGAAGGCGGCGGTGGAGGTGGTGCTCACCCGAATGCGAGGGAACGAGGGCTCCGGCGACGAACCTCGACGGAGGAGGGGTGGACGGGGAGGATCTCGGCCACGCGAACCCGACGGCGGCGACGGCGCGGCCTGGCGGCAACCCTAACGGCGGCTAGCGGCGGCCGGAGTAGCGGAAAAGGCGGCGGCAAGGGGTTGCACGGCGCGGGAGCGATGGGAGGCTCGAGAGAGTGCGGCGAAATGGGGAAAAAGTGAGAGGGGGCGACGGCGATGCTTAAATAGGGGGAGAGGGAACCGGACGTGGCCGGGAGAGGCGGGAATCGCCGGCCGACGTGGGGAGTGGGGGAGGAGAGAGAGGCGGGATTCGAAAATCGAATCCCGGCCATCTCGGGCGCGGGCGCGAGCGGGAGAGGGAGAGGAGTGGGCGCGGGAGACGCGGCGCACGCGCGGGCGTGGTCTACGTGGCCCGGAGGAGGCAGAGACGAGGGCGCGGCGGCGGTTGCGGGCGCGACGGCGCGAGCGAGATCGGCGGGAGGTGGGGGAAGGACCCGACAGGTGGGCCCCACCTGTCGGCGACCCCGAGAGAGGAGGCGGCGGGGCGGCCTGGCTGGGCCTCGGCCTGCGGCCGGCCCAGCAAGGAGGAGGGGAGGAAGGAGGGAATGGGCCGGCGGCCCATTCGAAAAAAAAAGAGGAAAAAGAGAGGAAAAAGAAAAAGAAAAAGGAAAAAGGATTTTCCCTGGAATTAAAATATTGCTTGCTCAATTTTAATTGGTTAAAATTATTTCTAGAGCTCTGAAAATTCCACTAAAATCCTGTTAATGAATTTCGACATGTAGAACTCAAGGAAAAAAATCCACATGTCAAATTCGATTATTATTTGCATTACTTTCTTAGGGTTTTCTCCTGATTTCACCTGCATTTTCTTAGGGTCATTTATAAAAATTACAATTTTGGCTTGGGAGGAAAACTTCGGGGTGTGACATCACATGATGAAGCAATGGCATCCAGACAGGTGGCATCTCCTTTTGTCTCTTATGATACCATGGATCCCATGTTGCTCGAAGCTGATCTTCTGGATGCTTCGATTCGAGGGCCTCTCCCCATGCCCCCCCTCTCCGGTGGGCCGCCCTCCCTCTCTGGGCCGTCTCCCTTCTCCGGGCTGATGAGCCGCGTTGGTGCCACGATGCCTTCCCTCACCGTGGGCTTGTCAGCCGCCACTGTTCCTTCCATTGGCTCATTGGCCGCCGCTACCGACTCGTCAGCTGCCACTACTGGCTCACTGACTGGCTCGTCGATCACCGCGGCCGTCTGCTCTGCCGGCTCGACAGTGACGACCATCGGCGTTCCCGCCGTTGTCTTCGCCACCTCGTCCATCGCTAGACCCCTTGTCGACACCCGAGACTTCGTCGTCGGCCAAGCTCCGCAGTGGGCCACCTCCTGTGCTGCCCGCACATCGCCGCTGTCGTTGTGCTCTCCTCCACCGCCAGTCTCCTTGTCAAGGTTGGTGGCGGCGACCGCTGCGGTCTGTGCGCCCAGCACGTTGCCGCCACCGTTGGTGTCGCCGGGCCTCTCTTCGCCTTGGTCTGTGTGTGTGCGCCTTGCACGTCACCGCCACCATCACAGTCTCTCCCGTCACCGAGATCGGTGGTGGCGCTTGACGTGGCCTCGTTGCTGCCGCCGCCTCGCTATCCTCCACAGCCAACGCCGCCAGCCCTCTCCTTGTCGAGGCCGATGAGGGACGCTGCGGTATGCATGCCCCCACCTCTGCCGGCCCTCTCCTCGCCGAGGCAAGTTCCAGCCGCTGCGGTCTGCGTGCCCTTGCCTTTGTCGGCCTTGTCCTCGCTAGGCTGCGTGTCCTCGGCTCCTCGCCCTGCCGCCGCGATCTCTCCCATCACCGAAGTCGGTGGAGGTGGTCGCCATTTCACCCTCCCCATTGGCCGGCAACAATTTAATTGAGCCGGTAGTAGGGACAGCACCGGCTTCCCTGGCCTCGGCTCTCCCCACCCTTTCCTGCCTAAAGGCGCCGTCAAGATGGGTAGCTGCCACGGGGTACCGGCCACGGCGGGGTCACCTCCTCTCTCGAGTCGGGTCCCACCAGCCGACTACTCTCTGCCACCGACCTTGTCCTTGCCACCGAAGGCTCCCTCGGTCTAGGGGATGGGGTTTTCTTCGACGTTCCGATGGTCGCCCTTGATCTTGACGGTCGCGCAGCTCCCTCTTTCGGTCGCCGAGAATGTCGCACTGCGTGCCTTCCTCACCAGTTGCTCCAGGTCTCTGCCTCCAGCTCTGCCCCCGCTGCTGCCGCCTCCGGCGCCTGCCGTTCTCACCGTGGGGGTAGTGCCAAAGCGTAGCAAGAGGATTGCGGCCAAGCTCACGCTTACCAGTTCGAGTGACACTACCTCACGCGTGCAGTCCCTCCCTTCGGATCACATCATGTCCTGTCTTCGCTCTTCTCCAGCTCCCTGCGTCCGGCGCAAGCCGGAGTGTAGTGGGACCCCCTACCCCACCCTCCCTTGCAATAGGAGTGTTTTTCTTTCCTAGTAGCTTATCTTCCTTGTATTTGTTTTTTTTGTTTCTTTTTTCCTTGACCCCTGGCAACGGCTTTCTGACCGTGTGTGTTGCGTAATCAAACTATGATATCTTCTTTTAATATATTAACGTACAATCTTTTTGCACATTTACGAAAATGAAATGATTTGATTGAAATATTATGAAATGATTTGAGAACGATGATTTAGCATACGAGGAAGCGTGGTGATGGTGGGGGATGGGGAAGACCCGGGCTCCACGAGGAGGGGCGAACGCCGTGGCGGCGGTGGCAGATGGGCGGGCCGTCGCGTCGTCCTCAACGCGAGCGACACCGTACCGTACCTCCCCGCTAGCTCCGTCGCTGGCCATCGCCTCGTCTCATGTGTTGTCGCGACCACGAGCCCTCGCGCGCGTCGCATCGCATCACCGCCGCGCCGCGCCGCCACCGTCCTCTCCGCTCCGCTCCGGCCCAACGAGATGACCGAGCCGCGTTAGGCCGGCCCGGCCCATCTATCTCCCAGCTCGCCCGGTCCTTCTGCCATATCCATCCGTTCGATCGATGGATCGATCGATTGACGCGACGCGATCCGCCCGGTTCATTCGCGAGTTGGGTACTCCACTACACTACTCTGGTCCACGCGCCGCGAGAACTACTCGATCGATCGCCTCCTCCCCCGCGCCGCAGCGCTCACGCCTATATAAACAAACCACTCGCCGCGCCGCATCAGTCGTAACCACCCACCACCCCCCAGCTGAGCTGATCAGCCATCCCTCCCATCTCTTTTCCTCCGCCGCGCCGAGAAAGAATTGAAGCATGATCTCCCCGGACGCGGCTCGCAACGTCGTCGGCATCATCGGCAATGTCATCTCCTTCGGCCTCTTCCTCGCCCCCGTGTAATTAAGTTCTTCTAATCAAGCCGATCGATCGACCATCTCTCTCTGCATGCAGGATAGGATACAATACAACAAATTCTGAAATTCATTTCTGGTTGTGTGTATATATGTATGCAGGCCGACGTTCTGGAGGATCTGCAAGAGGAAGGACGTGGAGGAGTTCAAGGCGGACCCATACCTAGCGACGCTGCTCAACTGCATGCTCTGGGTGTTCTACGGCATTCCCGTTGTCCACCCCAACAGTATCCTCGTCGTCACCATCAACGGCATCGGCCTCCTCGTCGAGGGCACCTACCTCCTCATCTTCTTCCTCTACTCCCCCAACAAGAAACGCGTACGTCGATCGATCCATGATCTGTTCATTATTTCCTTCCTCGATCTATACATTAATCTTTATCATGATCTAATTAACCCGTACCATTGATCATATCATCGATCGTGCAGCTGAGGATGTGTGCTGTGCTGGGCGTGGAGTTGGTGTTCATGTTGGCGGTGATTCTGGGTGTGCTGCTGGGCGCGCACACCCACGAGAAGCGCTCCATGATTGTCGGTATCCTCTGCGTCTTCTTCGGCTCCATCATGTACTTCTCCCCTCTCACTATCATGGTACGTATGTCCTCCTTTCCTTTCTCCCATCTGTATCTTCTCCAAGTAATTACGAATTTTCTTTCTTATACTGTTATTAATGCCCACGGTAATGTCGTGGATTATTTGTGGATAATGATCTGGTTGGACGTACGGTCCGAGGTGATTAGTAATAGTAAGTATGCAGATTATGTAATTTTGCGGCTGTTAATCTGCATGGATTTGCGGGGCCCACATGTCTGTCAGTGGTTACTATACTGTTGTGTTGCCTTGTGTGGATGGTCGTTTGATAGGTTATAATCCACTTACTAAGGACATGTACAAAGATAGAGTCAGATATAAGCTCTACGTTATAGAGACTAGCATTCTACAATAGTTAGAGACAATATGGTCTCAATCATTAATGTATCAAAATATTTTTTCTTACTTTTCTTTCCTTTCTTTCACCACCATGCAACAAAATTTGCTCTAATAAATGCTAAGAGTTAACTCTGAGCTGTTGTCATGCATAACAACCATACTCATTTCTTTTTCTTCCATGTCATCAAATTTACTTGCATGACAATAGAGAGAGATCACTAATAAACACCGTTGTACATGCCCTAATTTTGTGGGACTCACTGTTTAGATAGGTCCAAGTTTTTTTTTTTCTGGAACATTTGAGAGAGGAGAGATTGGCAACTTAATTGTCCAGGTTGTTTTCTGTTGCTTACCTCCTACTGGTGATTACCCAGGGGTTGCTGTCATCTTTAATACTTGTTGCATGATCTAGACATAAAAAAAGGTAGGTATCCATCATCATCTGCTGAAGATTTTGCATTCTACTCAGGGCAGGTGACTCATCAGGTTGTGTTTGGGGGCATTGAAGCATTCACAATCTGTGAGCATTTGCAGTTGGTTCTTGATTTGATCCTTCTGTACATATCCTTGCACAAAAGGAGAAAGCCAACTTTGGAACTAGAACTTGCATCTTCCGAACCATCAGCCATGTGTTAATTTGCCAGATGTGTGCAAGTTAATTCCCCCACCTTAGTTACACAGGACAACAAAATCGACGTGCACTCATGTACAATAGTGTCTAATAACGGGCTCTCTTCGTTGTCATGCAAGTAAATTCGGTGACATGGAAGAAAGATAGGGAAGGAATGAGAAGCATCGTTGCTACGCATGACAACGGTTCAGAGTCGACTCTTAGCATTTATTAATAAAAAATTTGTTGCATGTGGGTGTAGAAAAGGAAAGAAGTATAATAAAAAAATTATTTAGTGCATTAATGGTTTAGAAATCTTATTTTCTCTATTGTTGTAGGAGGATAGTCTCTAATGACATTAATTAGTACCAGAGAACTCATATTAGACTCTACCTCTGTACATGCCCTTATATACCAGCTGAATTCGTCAACAAATTTATTGGGTACCTATCCTAATTAAATTAGATAGGTACCCATCTCTACTCAGCATGTTACTATATCTGCTTATCAATCTAGCCCTTGCATTCCATACATGATCTTCAAATGAGGTGTGTGTGTGGTTATGTGTTAATATATATGATTCCATCTTAATTTCTAGCTAGCTAGGATCATTAATCAATATAAGATTTTTATCTAACAAGATTAATTGTGATTATTATCACTGCAGGGGAAAGTGATAAAGACGAAGAGCGTGGAGTACATGCCGTTCTTCCTGTCGCTGGTGTGCTTCCTCAACGGCGTCTGCTGGACGGCCTACGCGCTCATCCGCTTTGACATCTACGTGACCATCCCCAATGGTCTCGGCGCCCTCTTCGGCGCCATCCAGCTCATTCTCTATGCTTGCTACTACCGGACCACACCTAAGAAGACCAAGGCCGCCAAGGACGTCGAGATGCCCTCCGTCGTTGTCTCCGGCACCGGCGCCGCCGCCGCTGCCGGTGGCGGTAACACCGGCGGCGGCAGCGTCTCCGTCACCGTCGAGCGATGAGCTGAACTGAGCTAGCAAAGCCGTCGTCGTACGTGATTTCGACCGTCATATCGATCATATATCCTCTGAAATGTCGAGTGGTTTTTAGCTCAGAGCGTGTGTCATCGTGGTTTCCCGTAGTAGTGAAAGGACTTGATTTCACATGCAGCTCATGCATGCATGTAATTTAGTCATAATTATATATTATGCCGAGATAATGAGACCATGCTACCCTGTGCTTTGGTTTTGGTTGGTGTCGTGATCACGATGGCGTTGTTAATTTGTCTCTTTGCTTCGCCTTGCTGTGTGCCACCTCGTTTACTATACTGGTCAAAAGTTCGACACTGGTTAGGCTAATAAGCTGTCCATGGATCTTCAGTACGGCTTTAATTTGCTTTTTCATCTGCAACGTGTGTGCAGGTTATTGTCGCAACACAGCGAATCTTTTACTCTCATCACCTACTTAATTAGACGATCGAAGAATTGAATTGGGTCAATAATTAATGTGGAGGATTTTGGCAGTAGAAGACCTGTTGCAATCGAAAGGGAGATCAGGCGTGTCCAGGTGCTAGCTAGATTGAAAAGGACCGGTGCAGAGGAGCAGTATGTGCTGTGGGCTCATTCTTTCTTTTCCTTGGGTCTCTTGCGTGCCTTAAGCAAATTATTCAGCAGCCGAATTCGGATCATCTTGGTGTTGTACGTACAAAAGACTGAACAAAAAACAAGAGGAATCTAGTCAAAAATATGTATTTCTATAAGTGCCGAAAGTACTTGTTTAGTCAGAGAGCCCATAGATAACGCTAGAAGCCTAAAACCAAATTCAGAGTTTTCCTTAAAAAGGTTCACATGATATAAAGCAGGTAGAACGTCAGTCTAATGACACAAACAACAGCAGTTGCTCAACCTTGCACGACTCGGAGGGAAGCCATCAATTAATCTAACTATGCACACTGCTTGCCAAAATATGTGGGTCATTTTTGAGACCTGATCACCAGTCTAATACTCTAATGCACCCTCTTATAAAATAATAAAACTAGTTCCCAAATAAACTAGTCTCCTCTCTACACTCTGGCCAATAAAAAAAATTTATCGTCCAATGGTACCTGCTGGTACCAAATCCCCGATCAAACGGCTGTCAGAGTTTGGTATCGCGATGTCACCCTGAAAATTATGAATCTTTCGAAAACTTTCTTTCATGCTGGTATGTTTTGGATTTTCCTTTTCTTTCCTGTTGTGCCAGTGCCAAATTAAGATCAACAAAGGAATTGAATTTAAATTCTAAATTCATCTATGAATTTAGAATAATATTTATTAAAGAACCTTGGTTATCAAATAATGTAATTTTAAGAAAATATTTGAAAACAAAAGCAAATACTAATTATCTTCCTAATCTCTCCTTTCTATGAATTAATATTTCTTTAAATAATTATTTTGCAAATGAAAGGAAACTAATAAATTATGTTCTAAAAACCTCTTTATGAAATTGAGCCCTTTAAGAAGCTAATTATAAAGCTTTTCATAAAAGTTCAGTTTGGCTCCCTACAAAGCCTAGCTCAGCCCGGTCCAAACCCTCTTTCCCCTCACACCCTAAGTCCATCTTTCCCTTTCTCCCTTTCCTTCCTCCCCAACCCGGCCCACCGAGCCGGCCACCACCCGCCTCGATCCCCTTCTCCCTCCTCGCGCCGTTCGACCGCCGCTGCCCAAGCCGTTCGTCCTGCTGCTTCCGCCGCATCCATCCTGGTGAGTGAGCACACCCTCCGCCACCGCCGCCTGCACCGATCCCCATCCAAACGCGCGAGCGAGCGAGGCGAGCAGTGTCGCCGTCGTTCGTCCTGCTGCTTCCGCCGCATCAGTTACGCGCATCCTCTTTCCCATCTCTCTCTGTCTCTACCCACGCACTTTTTTTTTCTCGAATTCGCGTTAACCCTAGCTTCTGTTGTAGTAGAAATTTGCCTTAAACTTAATGCTAATACAGTAACAGTTTTGATGGTTCCCAAAAAGATTGGGGGGTTCAACTGAACCCCAATGTCCCATGTTAGCGATCCGCCACTGATGCATAGGAGGTGTTTGTGGAAATGATAGTAAGGGAGGTCTTCTTTGTGACCCACGTCAGAGGGCAGTACTGCAGAGGAGACTCATCCAGTGTGTATGGGGGTATTGTGGTCTGGGATAAAAGCAAGTGGATTCGATACGTAGTTTTGCACCTGCTGTCTTGAATGTTTCTGACGGCGAGTTGAGTGATTGCCTGATTCGTGCCAAACAGAATTTTACAAAGTGCTATCTGATAGGTTGAAGAAAGCACACTTCAGTGGAGTTTACATTGTCTAAGAGTGTTCCATCTGGTTACTGAAAGGGTAGTTTACTTATTTGAGGGTACGAAGCATGCCAACTCGATTACTTTGGTATACCTGTCCTTTGAAGTTGTATGGCTTGTATCCAATGGTTTAGCCTGATTTAGTTGTTTGATGAGTTAATTAGTAGTTGAATGAGAACATTGCTATAGACAGGCCTTGCGACGATATTTTCAGGCATTCTGTTGGAAAATATTGTATGTTCCAGTACTCAACCTGGAGCTGTTCTGTTTCTGACTTTGTGCAACCTCAAGAAGCCCATATTCTGTTGGTATCTTGATAGCTCTCTCTTTCATGGTCATTTGGAAAATATTGTATGTTCCAGTACTCAACCTGGAGCTGTACTGTTTCTGACTTTGTGCAACCTCTAGAAGCTCATATTCTGTTGGTATCTTGATAGTTCTCTCTTATATGGTCATTGTGTATCATTTGCATGTGAATAGTATTGTGATTTCCTGAAGAAACCACTCCTATAATGTTGCTTATTTAATTGTCAAACTTCATGGTGATGCAAATATTTTTGCCTTTCTGTGTTGCTTCTATCTATGGCTGAAACTCGGCTTCACATGACATTTTAGAAATTTTATTTACATGGTTTTTTGTTCCCAATAAATTGGCTACTGTGAAGAACTGTGTGTATCTCTAACTGATTTGGTATTTTCTTTTCTAACACCAGCATCGACCAGTTGTAGGATGGATATTTTGTACCAATGTAAGGAGTTCTTAAAGATCCAGAAGTTCCGGCGTACGGCGTCCTATGCTGGATTCTACTGCTTCACTGCCCTAATGACCTATGCTTACACGAGCAATACGTATATTACTGTTGATCTATCCTTTCTTGTGTACTTGCAGAATTTTCTCACTTAGTTTTCTTCCCTGCCAATAATCTCTGAACTTATTGCAGGACAAGGGCTGGCATTTCTAGGGGCGACCAATTTTATGCCTCATATCCCGCTGGTACGGAGCTACTAACTGACACTGCAAAGGTATGAAAAACTGAAATATGTCTTGGTGCCGCTTTGTTATCATCTTAACAGGACGTGAATGCAAAGGAAGTGTCATTTAAAAAAAAATCAAGTCACTTGCTTCAGAAAGGTGATGTTTGATTTGATTTGGTGGTTTGCAGCTTTACAAGGCTGCATTAGGTAATTGTTTCGAAATAGATGACTGGGGTCCAATAGAGTTCTCTATCATGGCAAAACATTTTGATCGGCAAGGCAAACCACCATATGCGTATCATGCAGTAAGTAGCTGCCCACTTATCTTTCATTTACTGCACACTCAGCTTGCTAAACACTTGCAAATCTGCATTCTCTCGAAAACACATATATTCTTTTGGTTGTTAGGATCTAACTTTTCCCTGCTAAAATTGCAAGTTTTATGTGTACTTTCACTATGTTTTTCAGCAATACATGGCACACCTTCTCTCCCATGGGCAGCTCGATGGAAGTGGATAACTGCACGATGTGCTTAAACTTCCGGTTTGTCTTGTGATGAGATCTGGTGTAAACTGTAGCCCGTAAGTTATGGTAGCGTATTGTTGGTTTCATCATGACAATTAAATTTTACTAAGATGTTGTACAAAAGAGCTGCCTTGGTACGCTGTGAGTTCAGATGGCTCACGACAGTGAATCGCAGTGTTGAAAGCATAAATAGATTCTGGATTTTCAAGCTATGAGCCTATGAACCACTGCATTATGAACTTATTACTAGTGTCATTAATCCAAATGGTTCCTGAAAGAAATCATGACGTATCCTTTTCGGGAATACAAAGAAATGATTATGTCTGTTGAAGCATTAATACTGTTCAATTTGTTGAAGGGAACTCCTTGGGTAGCGGTGCTGGCACTGGTTTGTGTGCTTTTTATCTGGTCTCAGTCATGCACCTGTTTTTGGTTTGTATCCTGGATTTCTGAGATTTAGTCTCTCCGTCCCTCCCAAAATATAAAGTATTTTGTCTGTTCAGATTTGATTTGCAGTACTAGGATGTGTTTCATCTCTGTGCAAATGGCATGTTGGCTGTCTTCTGAATTTCACCTCATCTGTCCCATTTCTGGGACATATGTTGAAGAATGTGAAACCTGACGTCTTGTTACCCTGCCCTGAAGATGTTACCTCCCTTGAGGTGCAATGTTCAGATTGATATCTATTAACGCCGATATGAGCTGAATATGATTATCTCATGCTCCTTCCGTCCCATTATAAGTGCAGCCGTAAGTTTCTGTGCTAATATTTGACCTTTTTTTTATTTGAAAATTTTATGAAAAAAATTTAAAAGTTAAGTCACGCATAAAGTACTATAAATATTTTATCATCTAATAACAATAAAAATATTAATCATAAAAATATTTTAAATAAGACGGATGGTCAAAGTTGGACACTGAAACTCACAACTGCGCTTATTACGGAAGGGAGTAATTTCAAAATTTTGATACAAACTGAACCATCAAATTTCGCTGCAATCAGAATTTTAGTAGGGCAGAAAAACCCAAACAAACCCAAAAAACCCAAACAAGCCCAAACAAACATTCTACACTGATATGGTAACATGAAATGGGGAAAAAAAGTACAGGTAATTTTGTCGACGCTTGGAAAAAGAACAAAAATGGCATGCATCATCCATTTCCAAAGCTGGAGCAAGAATCACGCGCGTTGATGCAGCAGCAGCCGCCGCAGCAGCCCGAGGAACACGCGGCGCGCGCGACGCGGCCACCGGAACACGCGCGCCACGCGCGCGATGTCTAGTCTCGGAGCAGCGACACCGCCACGTATCTGGCGGCCTTGCTGTTGTTCGCCGCCGCGACGGCCTCGTCGACGGCGTCCGACGAGCGGCAGAGCAGCGCGGCGGTGGCCGCCGCCGGCTTCGCCTTGGCGCGGCGCGGCTGCGAGAGCCGCCGCCCGCGGCTGTCGTAGTGGATGGCGCCCGGGAAGCTGAGCGGCTCGCACCGCTCCCCCATCAGTATCGCCCGCCGCCACAGCCCTTCGCCACCACCGCCGCCACCGCCGTCGGGCTTCCCGGTCTCGCCACCACCGCCGCCGCCGCCCCGGCGGAGCAGGCGCGCGCGGAGGAGGCGGCGGGTGGCGCGCGACACGCGGCGCGCGCAGGCGGCCACGGCGCTGGACGCTTTGCTGAGGAGGCCGCCGGCCATTGATGTTGGTGGAGAGCGCCCCGCCGCGCCGTCGGCCTCCGCTGGTGTTGGAACTTCTGTACTCGAGTCTAGTAGTACAGGGCAATGCAGATTGCAAAGGAATAAATACATTTTTTTTCTTCTTCTTGGGAATTAATGCTTTTAAGGAGTAAATCTTTTTCCAATGAGAAAGGATACAAAAAAATTTGCATCATTATATATTGGCAGTATTTAATGCATGACTATCCTTGGGGTTGGAAGTTGGCAAAGAATTATCTGGCCCATATAAAATCTTTTGTTTGGAATGATAGTTTTGGCACAATTCAAATGCTTGGAAGTTACAGCAAACGCCTGATCATCCTTAACCAGCCTAAGAAGTGATCGTTTGCTGGTTACAAAATAAAGCCCTTCTTTCTTTGGATTGCAGAAGCTCATCAACATTGCACAGCTACCGTTATTTTCCTATCAAAAGAAACTGAAATGTATATCCCCTCCTGCATGTACAATGTGCAGTGTTTTAAAAAAAAATGTTGCCAACCAAAAACCGCTCACCAGTAGTTTCATCGATGACTGAGTGGTCATCAACAAAAACCAATGAAATTCATGCAAAATTTGTCAGAAAATTTGAATTTAATTTTGATTTTTGCAACACAGCAATGGACAACATATATGCTACTATTGCAAGGCTGCACCATACACGTCCTTATTGCAAAAAAAAAAAGGTGAAATGCATAGGCATGCGGCTGCATGTTTGCCGGGCAGGCCAAAATAGACCAACCAAATTTACTTAAGATTGAAAAATATATACAAATATAAAAAATTTTAAGTTCAACAAGAAGCTGTCGAAGTAATGGAAGTTGTCACGAGCAAAACCTCCCAAAAGAAAAAGATTACACTGAGGGACTACTCTCCTATACTTCAACCCCAGCTTCCTTCCAAATCGCCACTTCCTTTTGATTGAACCAACAGGAAACGGCTGAGCGCTGCTGGTTCTGAAACACACGCGCATAGGATTCCATACTACCATTCACGCTCTTACTGATTTGCAGGAACATTACCAGCTTCAATTATCCAACCCACGATCATACAAACTGCAGAAACACTTATTGGAACAGAGTATGATAAACACTTTAAGAAGTTATCGTAGGTAGTAATGAATTAGAATTTTATAGAAGTAATAATCATTTACAACAGCTGATGTGAACTGCACTTTGCATTCATGAACCAAGATAACCGTAACAGCCTTTTGATCAAATTCTACTACATCGTGTACTTCCAATAAACAACTGAAAACCAGGATCATTTCTACTATCCTCTTCTGTCGTCGTAGATAGATTCATGGTTCGATGATGAGTAAAATTTCTATTCTACAAGTGTCTGTACCAACTGTCGCGCAACAAAACCAAGTAAAATCCTCCTAAATTCAACCAGAAATCAAAAATATCCTAGAACAATTTGGAGTTCAGAGCATTGCAATGCTGTTACTATCTGATCTTCTTGTTCATGCTGCCGGCGAGCTCCCGCATTTGGAACCTCCAGAACATGAAGATGGCGAGCGCGACGCCGACGAAGACGAAGCCCACAACCATCTCCCCTTCGCCTTCCTTCTTCCACGACACCTCCTCGATCCGCCACGCCGCCGCCTTCTCCGCGTCCGCCGCCGCCACCAGCGCGTACACCCGCCTCCGCTCCCTCACCGCCACGGCCGCCACGGCGGCGGCGGCGCCGCCGTCCGGCTCGGCCTCGTCGCGCTCGGCGCACGACGACCACCCGTCGTTGCTGCCGACGAGGCGCAGCGTGGCGCCGCCGCCCACCGCCACCGTCCCGTCGCTCCGCACCGCCACCGCGGCCGGCGAGGGGGGCGTCAGGGCTCCCGACACGGCCCGCGCGGCGCCGTCCTCCATGTCGACGCGGAGGAGGCGGCCCGTGCTGGGCTGGCCCACGAGCAGGAACCCGCGGCTGACGTGCGCGGCGAGGGAGGCGAGCGGGTCGGGGCCGCCGTACGCCGGCGAGGGGGGGAGCGCCGCGAGGTCGCCGTCGGGGGACACCTTGTAGATCCGCGCGCCCACGGTGAGGAAGGCGGCGCCGGAGTGCGGGTCCACCGCGACGCCGCCCGGCGGCGCCGCGGGGTCAGGGAGCGTGGCGGAGAAGAGCCGCGCGTGGGGCCGCGGTGTGCGGAGGTCGTAGGCGGAGACGGAGCCCGGGGACGCCACGAGGAGGCGGCGGCGGCGGTCGTCGACGGCGACGGCGGAGGCGCCGCGGTGGGACGCGATCGACTCGGTGACCCCGGCGTCGGAGACGGAGAGGACGGCCTCGCCGCCGCCGGCGACGACGAAGTGCTGCGCCGTGGGGTCCCAGGCGAGGGAGGCGGGGGAGACGCCGCGGGCTGGGGTGAAGGTGATGACGTGGCGCGCGGAGGCGGAGGCGGCGGCGGCGGCGGCGAGGAGGAGGAGGAGAAGCGGGAGGAGGGAGGCGGCGGCCATCTTTGGATCGGATTGGATTGGATGCGTTCTGCTTCTGCGGAGATTCGTTTCGTTCCAAGGCCGAAGAAGCGAAGACGATTTGCGCCTCCTCCTTTGACTTATTTTCGTTTTCTTTTGTACGTATGAACTGGAAAAGGGTTGAACGACAGTATACTCGTTTTCTTTTGGTCTATCGCACAGGTGTAGAGGAGTACAAAATAAGCCGGCATATTTAAGAACGAAAAATAATTTATAAATAAAAATTTTATATACATGCTCTTAATAACCTAAAAGCAAATGCTAAAAAAATAAACTTTGATTAAAAAAACTTAAAACCAACTATAAATTTAAGGTAAAAAATTAAATTTTGGTTGATAAGCATAAGTATAAGCGAAAAGATGAAGTTGTCAATCAGATAACAAAGTGTTTGACATTTGAGGCCTGAGGAACTTTGGATGTGCTCTAAATTTTCGCTGTAGAGCAAGTTCAACAGTACTGCTAATGGTTGGCTTCAAAAATATTCATGTTAACAATAGAGTAAACTAGTAAAAAAATAGTAGATATAATAGTTTAGCTGTTGATAAGCTACACACAAATATCCATAAAACTACATTTAATATTTTAATCTAACTTTCACATTGCTCTTTCTTTCCGGTTGTTCTTGTCCACTCATTCATCCCCGTTTACTATTCTTTCTCTATCAGCACTTCACAATGAAGACATCGACCCCAGCAATACTTGAGCGGCAGCCGTCGTGGAGCGCGTGTGCAGCAGGCAATAAATTAGTCACTGGTTTATCTGCTCTCTTCATTATTCCTCTCCAGCTCAGCTTATAATCTCATGTGGAACAAAAATCGTTATTGTTTGGACTACTATTTGTACCTGCTCTAACATGCATACCACGTAATGTTTCGGAGATGGGTCTCTTTATCTCTATACCCTCCTATTCAATGGACTATTTATCCGCTATGCTGCTGTAATGGAACAATAGAATAAGTCTTCACATTGTGACTTTGCATCTATCTTCGTTATAAGTTCGCTACTATTGACTCTACCTTGTAGCAACAACACTATCTCTTATAAATACCATGAGTTTCTACTTGTGTGCCAATGTCTCCTTATCATCTATATTGCGGACTTGCCTTCAAATGAGAATTTGAGTGTAGTAACACACAATAAATGAGCCGAATGGAGAAGCTTGATAGCATGGCAAGTGTCGGATATGTCGAACCAATTAAGTATTAGGCACTAGTGTTAGAGCTATATATGAAACCAATTAAGTACTAGAGGTGGCAAGGACTTGCCGTAGCCTCAAATTCATAATCGAAAGACATAGTGGTACTGCATCAAATAGTCAAATTCATAATCGAAAGACACAGTGGTGTTGGATATAATCTGTACAGCTTAATCGTAAAATCATATATGTCATCATAAAATCCTAGTTTTTTTACCTATGTAAAGTGAATCGTAGAATTGTAAGAATTAAAGAATCAACAATTTGATACATATGTTGCTGGAATCACACGTAGATACATTCCTTAGCTTGCAATAGTATTCTAGATAACTAATGTGAGTGTTGCGGTGGACGCGCTATAGCCATAGGAGGTGACTATGTGATGGGCAAAGGTCCGACGTAGTGGCAGGGAGGCAAGCGGGACATCTTGGATCGATGTGTTTGTCTTCTCGAAAATATTGGGAATGAAGCAATCAAACTAAGTATCAAATGAGTTCATCCATGTTTAAAACAATGCTCGACATTTGGTATCGTCTTCTTAATTCTTTTCGTAATTATTTAAGTAAAATAAAAACGGAAAAAAAAATCCTCTAAAGAGTTTAAAATCCACTCTCCTTACACTACTATCTTTTTAGCAAATCGCTCTGCCATTCTTGTTCATATATTGATGTTGTGCCCTTTATAAATAATAAAAATTACTCATATGATCAGTACCCCTGCAACATCCTCCAAAAGCATCATGTTTCTTTATTCAATCTTTTCTTCTAAAAATAGCCGTATAGGATCACATGGGTGCACCCCCGTTATCGCTAAAGATCAAGAAGACACCATCCTCACCCAACAGAACACGTAACTAATTAAGCGTTGGCCGGAGGAACCGGGCAGTTGCTATTGCACTCGTCGATGGTTCGGAAGGGCGGGTTGTCGTCGGGCTTCACGATGCACCTGTAGCAGGAGCTCCACGCCTCCGGGATGCAGAAGTTGGACGGGCTGCAGATGGTGATCGGGTCGAACTGCGGCTGCGCGACGCCAGCAGCAGCCGATTTCTTCGCCGGCTCGATGATGGCGTGTGTCCTGCCACCTGAGGGTTAATCAACAGAGATTATTCAGTTTGTTATGAAGATAATATGGATTGGTAGAAGATGAAAGAAAATAAAAAAAAAGGAAGAGGATGAGATTATTTCCCGTGATGATCCACGCTTACCGTGCACCGCGATGGCGAGGATTCCGAGGGCGAGGAACAGCATGAAAATGGCGCTGAACTTCATGTTGCTGCTCTGCAAAAGTATGTGTGGTGTGTATGTGTATTTTTGTGATGAATTGGACCTTGTTTGTCTTCTGTGTTGATGGAATACAATGGGGTCCTCCTAAGTATTTATAGATGGCGAAATGGCTGGCTTAGTTTAGAAGCTAATCTTTACAAGGGATAAACCCATCCATAATCTGCTGGGTTTGATTGGATGCTTATTAGGAGCGTATCTTTGCTTTGCTAAGAATGGCAATGTGTAATTACGAGGATCATGACTGGATTAGATTGCTTACCAAAGAGGTTAATAGTATCTTTTTACCTTACTATACTAGAATATTACTTTTGGATGGCTGGTTTTTGGTCCAAAACTAGTGCAAAATATGGGCCTGAAATTTTTCACACAAGGTCTAAAAGTGTGCTTCGATGGGCTGGTAACCCACTAAAGTTGCACTCTGTTTGGGCCGTTCCTCACTTCCTCTTAATGTTGCGGCAGATGCTAAATGAGCCAAGTGGAGGAGCTCGTTAGCATGGTATGTGCCAGGGTCCTCAGGGTTATGGCAACAATTAAGCACTGTTGAAGGGAAGCATCAATGATTTGACGGTAGAGTCACATGACTCTACCTTCTAAGGATTAAATTCTGGTGACTATAAATATTAGGAATAAGTTCACCGGAGGTCCCTCAACTTAACAACGAGGTTTTTTAACGTCTCTTAACCACAAAATCAGAAATCTTCACCCCTAAACTATATAAAACCTTCAAAATAGGTCCCAAGGCAGTATAGTGGGCTGGTTTCACTAACGTGGCATTCTAGTCAGCACAAATAATAAAAATAAATATATGGAGCCCAGATGTAAGTGACCCACATTTTTCTGTTGTTCTCTTTTTCTCTCCGGGCGCGGGCGGAGGCAGGCGGAGCGGCAGCGTCAGCGAGAGCGGCTGCGAGGGCGAGCGACAGGCGAGCGCGGCTGCGAGGGCGGGTGTCGGCGAGTGCAGCTGCAGCGGCAAGCGGAGGCGGTCAGCGCGACGGAGGCAGCGGGAGAGGAGGAGAGGAGGCGCGCCGACGCGAGAGGTGGGGGTGTCGGCGTGAGAGGCGGCCGGCCAGTCCGCGCCCACCCAGTCCTCATGATTAGGAGGCGTTAGTATTGGGGATTTGTCCTGATGTTTTGAGAGGTAACTGCGCTCATTTTCGTTGCTTGGATTGCTTGTTCAGTTTTGTGTTGATGTGCTTTCATGCGTAGCCCCTTTGGGTTTTTCTACGTGGATTCCTCTTCGTTCTGCATACTCGTTCACCTCCCAGTCATTTCTTCAGACAGCCCCCCGCCACCTCAAGTTATCACATAGATTTCCCTCAGATTCCTTGAATTGCTTGGTTCTTGGATGAGTGTCTGGTTCCTGTTTCTTGGATGGTTGCATATTTGCAGAGTATTCGGCAAGCTCTTTGAACTACTAGCATCCGAATACTTTTGAACTGCATTGATGTCCCAAACTGTTTTTTTTTTTGTGCGGGGAGTAGGGGGCAAAGCTGGAGAAGGTGGAGGTGTGCGGGGAGTAGGGGGCGAAGCCGGAGGAGGGCGGCCGCCCACACCCGCCAGTCGTCGCGCCCCCAGTGATGCGGCATGCACGGAGCGACCTGGAGCTCGCCCGCAGCCCGCCCATCGCCGCTCTCGCCCGCCGCACTCCGCCCGCGGCCCGACACAGTCTCCACCACGCCGCTCTCCCGCGTCCACTCGCCCACGCTCTACTTCGATGCCCGCCTCCGCTTCGCCTACAGCCCGGCGCTGCTCCGCTGCCGCGCGGGCCCGTCGCAGCCCTCGCCCGTCGTCGGCGTTGACCTGGTTCTTCTGGATACTGTCCGGGCGGCCCGACGTGGAGAAAAGAGAAGAGAAGGAGAAGAAAATAGAAGGAAAAAAAGACGTGCATCTGACATGTGGGCCCCATATACTTTTTTCAATTTCTTTTTGCTGACCAGGATGCCACGTCAGTAAAACCGGGCAAAAATACTGCCGAGGGATCTCCTGTGAACGGTTTGTGAGAATTTAGGGGTACACATTTCTGGTTTTATGGTTAAGGGACCTCAAAAAATCTCGTTGTTAAATTGAGAGACCTCTGGTGAACTTATTTCTAAATATTACAGACATGCGAGCGAGCTTTCAGTAGGAATTTAGTGGGGCTAAGGATGTGCCACTGGTACTAGTTCCTTTAAGTTTGTGTTCTTGGGACGCGCTTGCAGGTGCGTGAGTGTGGTGTGTTGCAATGTGATATAGCTACATCTTAAAAAAATGGAGTATTCAGCTAAATACCCATGAACGTCACCGATGCCGATGATTGAGGTGTCGTGCTCCGAATGTGCGGGGACAAAGGACATGACGTGCCTACCAGCCAGGCGAGCCGGCAAGAGCGTGGGTTTGAACCCGTCCTAAGCACGAACCGCTCACCCCGAGCTCCTGCGTCCTCCCTTGCCACCGTCTTCCTCTTGAGCGCCCATCTCATCTTGGTGTCGTCATGAGGATGGAAAAGAGAAGAGAGATGAAGAGAGAGGGAGGAGGAGAGGAGAGTGCTTGACATATGGGTCCCACCTACCGCATCAACAAAAAATGATTTCCCAATAATCAAAAGAGTCGATTTACACTAAGTTTGAAAGATGGGGATACGTTATACCTGGTTGTGTGATTGAGGGGGGGGGGGTGA